ACATCACACCATCTGAATGTAATGATATTTTCAAAATCACTCAAGTACTAAGTCCACAACATAGCAGATTTTTATGATCATTGGCTTGAATCTAGAGGTACTAAGAATAAGCCTCAGTTCACAACAGGGGGCCATTGGCAGAAGAGCAGAGAGGCAATTTTAGGCACTTTCATTCCAATTTATTAAAAATTAGGTCTGAAAGATTGGGAGGATCTTTTCAGAACAGAACACAAGGTGTTATGGAGGGAATAAGCAAAAGTCTTCCTTTTTGAAATATCTGCCAGTAGGAGTTCTTGCTTCACTAAAAGCCTTTCCATTTATAGAAAGAACTCAAGATGAAGTCATAGGCAACTTTGAATGGTACACATGTTTTCGCTTAAATTCTTATACTCCCCTAAAAGTTGTCTTTGCAGGTGTATTGACTCTTGAGGACAAGAAAAACTAAATTGTGCATCTGAAACCAACAAGGCTGTATAATGCTAGTACATATTTTCAAGCTTTTTGGTAACTTCAGCAACTTTGTGCCCTGTATAAGTGCTGGATTACAAACCCTGTAAGATACAACCAACACACTGGCTATGAATTAAAGGAATTGTAATGATAATTACCAGAAACATGCCAAATTTCAAAATGTGTTTGCACAGTTCTAATCTTGACCTCTTCACTCCAACTTTTTTATTGGAGTCAATAGGTGATTTTAATGGAGGCAAACCATGTTGTTGCAAACCCTTCAGAGATCCACTATTTCCACATGCTGGATGAGTTGGAAATAATTGTGCAGTCCTTCTAGTACAACTCTTACTCTAAGAAGCTATTGATCCATCTGCAATAAATGACTTCATTTGAAAACTTCCAGCCAGGAAATCGACCACTGTTCTAGACAGACCTCTCCACCATTTAACTGCTCTTGTGGTTAAGAAATTCCTCCTAACATACTCAAAAGTGATTTACATTTCTTTTAACTGCTTGGTCTACTTTTGCTCACTTTGCTCTAGGGTCGAAACAGGATTGTTTTAATCAAATTCAGGAAATGATTTTAGCAAATGAAAAAAAAACACTGACTGGTATCTTTCCATTTGCGGTACTATCAGTCCAATGCAGTGACGTGCGGTGAGTTTTATGGCTCATGAGGCAGCAATTTTTTTAGACTTGTGGACTTCAACTCCCAGAATTCCACAGCCAGGCATGCTAAGTTCCACAGCATTTGTTTTTCACCTTTGCTAAATAGGTTTCTTTCTTTCTTTCTTTTTCTTCTCCCTTCCCCTCCTTCCTCCCTCTCTCCCTCCCTCCCCCCTCTCTCAAACACACTCACACACACAAAGTTGCACCAGCATTCAGAAAATTTAGGTTTTCTTCCTCAGCCCATGTTAGCAATA